GCTCATACCTGCGACGCTTACAATAATTGTTCAGAAATCAATTAACGGCATATGAAGAGGTATAACATCGCTAAAATAATGTAAAACATTGTAAAAATAATGATATTTTTAATAAAAATACTGATTGCCCTTCTTTACAGGAGGTGATTTTAAATTATATATCTAATAAACATTGCAACAAACAACAAATTCCAAAAACACGTATCCCCTATTTTCGTCTATAGTTTAAAATTCAATTTGCGATAAGGTATGAGCTCCTACTACTCGCTTCAGATGATTTATTGTTAACGTGGCCCGGCCGAACCGGGCTGCACGTCTGCTTCCTCGCCCCATTGGGCATATGCAAAATAAACTTCCTATCACCCTCTAGTCTCTCGAAGTTACTGCCACTACGAGTCCAACTACAATTGGTGTCAGCACCGGTTGGTGACAAACCGGTGGGGCAACTGTACCTCCCATAGCACCCATGTTATCAAGGTTACTCTTGAAACGTTGGATGGGTCTCCGTCTGGGACCTTTCGGTTACCCCTGCAACACATTATTACTACCGGTGGCTCAGATTACTATCCGTTGCTCGGATTTCTGAGATTGGGTAGCTCCGCCGGTAGTTTTAAGGGCGAGAGTCGTGTTGTCTGCACTGCACCCGCCGCTTCAAANNNNCCCGCCGCTTCAAATGATACTTAACAGATTTAGTTTGTATCCGGCCCACCGTAGATGGGCGCGGATGTGCTTCCTCACCCAGTCGGGTATACGCGTATAACACCCCCTTTCAGACCCCGAGTTCACTACCCCTAAAAGTCCATCTCCAAATAGACATGGCACCGGTCCACATCCCGGCGGGGCTTTCCATACCACCGTTAGTACCTGTGATAGCGAGAATGAACCTCAAGCAACGTTAGACAGGTCACCGTCGAGGGCGTGGCCCCGAAGGGCGGGTTTCCTCTACAGCACATCAATTCCTGCCGGTGGCATCCGTTACTCAGAAACCTGAGATTGGGTAGCTCCGTAACGACAGTTTTATGAGTGGAAGTCGTGTTGTCTGCATCACGGACTCGTCTCGGATACTAAAGTGACTGGATCCATCACTCCGACACCTCATATATACGACGGCCGTGCATCCACCCCAACGCACAATCCCATGTAAGTAGGACTCCTCCTACGGCGTTTGATGGGGAACCGCCGAGGGCACTCATCGCGACACCTCTTCCACGCAAGTCTGCACACCAAAGGCATCCGTTACCCAGAGTTCTGGGATTGGGCAGCACCAAGGCGGCTTTTTAGGGTAAGCGGTGCGTGGTCTCCGGGATCTCGTCTCGGATACTAGGGCAAGCCCCGACACCTCAAGCGACGGCCCCGTCACGCAAACCCTTGGGGTCGAGCGAGATGGCACTCAATATGCTCCTCTCAGCTCTACCACACATACATACCAAAGGCGGTTGCACTTTGCCCAGATTCCTGGGATCGAGCAACACCATGCGCAATGGTTTATGGCCCATAGCAGTGTGGTCTAGCCATGGGCCCGAGACCATGGGCCCGAGATGATACTTAACACATTTTTTTCCACTCCCGCCTTCTAGAGTCCACCAAAATGTGGATCGGAAGGGGGATAAACTTCCACGTGATTCCGTCTTTCGCCAATAACCCTTTGAGGGCCGTATCGGCGATCAATATATTAAAGATTTGCCATAATTCTCAATCTGCACCTCGGAAATTTGTCCCGTTATCAGAATACAAATATGCGGGAAGTCCGCAATGGCTGACGAATCTTTTTAAGGCAGCTAAGAATGCGGAAGTGGTGCAGTTCTCAACAAGTTCAAGATGTACTGCTTTTGTGGCGAAACATACGAATATAGCGATATAATATTTCCGAGTTTTCTTACCTCTGCCGACGCGACGGTTGGAAGAATGTTCATTGGGCTGGCATAGTCAAGACCGGTATGTGTAAACGGAGCGGAGGGTCTGACCCGAACGTCCGGAAGGGCGTCCATCAGCTGCGTGGCCGATTGAGCTCTCTGACGAATGCACATACACAACGATGTATGTGTGCGCGAACTAAGGATCTCGGTGAGATTATCCAGTAGCCTGAGGACTCGGAGAGTCAATTGGACGCCACCGTGAAGAGTGCGCTTATACATATAGTCGATTAAAAGTTCGGAAACACGATGTCTTGGCAATATGGTAGGGTGTTTTTCATCGTAGCTCAAAGCGGCGTGCTCGAGCCGCTCGCCAAGCCGAATTAGTGCGTCTCTCCCTATGATGGGATGTAAGGAAATATGCGAGCTAGATTTTGGAAGCGGCTTCTTGTTTTTCAAGAATTTGAGTTCGGCGGAGAAGTGTTTATTTTGGACGTAGGACATCCAGAAAAGAGAAGCTGCACGAATTTCATCGGCAGTCAACGACGTTGAATTCCGCGATAGCGAAAGTGGTGTTTTGCACATTTTTTGAGTGAATCTAACAATAAGTATATACGCTGTAACCCGGCATAGTTGAATCCAGCTCGAATATTGAGAAGGAAGATTCTATTCTAGGAGTGGAGGCATGTGATGAACATGCGTCTTTTTAGATTCTGATAGTGCGATCTCTCGGGCGTTTTGTCGATCGGTATCTGAAGGGTTACAGTCTGATCAAAACACTGACGGAAAAGACAACCACTCCGATCCGGACCACCACAATTTATGATCAACAAGCTCGGAAGCGCAGATGCCGCGGGAAGCGCAATCAGCTGGATTATCTTGTGATTTTACGTGTTTCCACGTCACGTTTGGAAGATGAGTCTGAACGTCGGACACACGGTTAGCGACGAACGTGTTCCACGTAGATGGATGTTGTTTAACACGTTGTGTACCAAGCGTGATTACGTTTTGTTTCCTACCGGCCCAAGTTTTTATCTCGGCGCACTAGAACGATAGCGGAGAGATATGCGGGAAAACCAACAATGTAACTCGAGTAGATACATGCATTGTCGATTATCTACATTTACAGTGCTATCGACCTATGTAATTGATACATTGTTTTGTTCCGAAATAATCTTATTGGTAAGTAGCTTATTTTGGATTTGGAAACGTTTATCGCTTTCCCTGGAAAGCGATAAGTGTTTTGGTTAGAGCAGCGTGGTCCAAGCCTAGCGCGACGCACTCGAGCCTTTCCCCCACTCGATCTACTCCGTTCCGCAGAATGTTGTCTTTCTTATAGTTTACGCGACAGTGTAGTCAAAAGAATAACATATACATCTTTCATGTATAGATTATTCAGTTGAAAAGCATACTTTTTCTGAAACGCACATCAGTAATTTTTTATCCCAAAAATGTTCATTGGACGGCATGAAAGTAGAATTGAAAGTGAGAGTAGTGATGAAAACGTTGTGAGTTTTAGAAGAAAAGTTAGAAATAGAATTTCGTCGAGTTCAAGCTCGGATACTGATGAATCATATGCAAGTGAAGATATTGAAGAATTACTAAAAGAACTGGCTTTAGACGAAGAAGAGAAATTAAACACAGCTGATAATTCATTGGAAAAGCCAATGGAACGAGTTCGATAGTAGGCAACAATCATTTCCGTTCACTGGAAAAAGTGGGCTTTTGTTGGATTTGCCGTCTGGCATTAGCCCCGGTGAAGTTCTTTCGCTATTCTTGAATGAAACAGTAATAAGTCTTTTAGTCACAGAAACTAATAGATATGCAGAGCAAAAATTACTTGAACATAAAACGACTGGTCACGCTGGACAAAATAAATGGAATCTCACCACTTCCGAAGAAATTAAAAAATTTATTGGATTGATGATTTGGATGGGTCTAGTACAAACACCGCTAAAGAAATGTTGGTCAACGGATCCTGCATACAATTTTTCATTGCCGCGCAACACAATGTCCCGCAATCGATTTGAAGAACTGCTATCAAACTTGCATTTTGCTAACAATGAAACGATAGTACAAAATAACAGACTTGGAAAAGTTTTACCACTTGTAGACATATTGATGGTTAATTATCAGAAGGATTTTTCACCAGGCAAAGACATTGTTGTCGACGAGACAATGGTTCCGTGGAGGGGACGACTAGTATTTCGGCAGTATATTCCAACAAAGTCACATAAGTACGGTGTAAAACTGTTCAAACTATGCTCCACCGAAGAATATACATGGTCTTCAAAAATATATAATGATTCTTTATATATCGGTTATTGGTGAATAATGAGCCG